CCCGCCACAACGCCTGGCCATTTTTTGGTTGCAGCCATCATTGTTGTTTGGCGGGCCCGGGCTGGGGATTCGAACCCTCCACCTTAGGTGTATGTGGCTGGCGCCTTAGCCGCTTGAGCCACAGGCACCGAGCCATTAGATCAGCTTTGAAAGGTAGATTTTGTCTGTAGAAATGTATATTTGTAAATAAAAGGGATTTTCTTAGTCTAGAATATGAAAAATGCTATTGTTGAAATTGCCTGGAGTGATTTAGACACTGAACCAGACATTGGAATTTTATTTTATTTTTTTTTTCTTTGAGACAGAGCCTCAAGCTGTCATCCTGGGTAGAGTGCTGTGACATCATAGCTCATAGCAACCTCCAACTCCTGGACTTAAGTGATTCTCTTGCCTCATCCTCCCAAATAGCTGGGATTACAGGTGCCCACCACAACGCCAGGCTATTTTTTGGTTGTAGTTGTCCTTGTTGTTTGGCAGGCCCAGGCTGGATTCAAACACACCAGCTCTGCGTGGCTGGCACCTTAGCCACTTGAGCTATAGGCGCCAAGCCAAGACATTGGAATTTTAATGCTAATAGTTAATCACCAACATTGGGGGGAGGGTTTCCTTTTTCCTTATTGGTTTTAAAACAATTTTTTTTTTTTTTTTGAGATGGAGTCTCATTATGTCGCCCTCCATACAGTGCTGTGGCATCACAGCTCACAGCAACCTCAGATTCTTGGGCTTAAGCGATTCTCTTGCCTCAGCCTCCCAAGTAGCTGGGACTACAGGTGCCTGCCACAACACCCAGCTATTTTTTTGTTGCAGTTGTTTAGCTGGCCCAGGCCAGGTTCTAACCCACCACCTTTGGTGTATGTGACTGGTGCCGTAACCACTGTGCTATGGGCACTGAGCCCTTTTTAAAATTTTTCATTTGCACAATTTATATTTTAAATTCAAGTGCAAATTTATGAATATACTAGATACAGCTGAAGATAGAATTAGTAAACTGAAAGATACTGTTACCTGATTCTCAAATGCAATGATTGTAATCAGAAAATCATGAATTCTTTTCATTTTGCTAAGAGAAAATAACTTTCTATCCAGAATGCCATAATCAGTGAAAATCTTTAAAACATGGGTGAAATAAAGACATCTTGACACCATCAAAACCAGTTTGTTACTAGCAAGATCTTTACTAGAAGAAATTCTCAAATGTATGATGTGGAAGAAGTAGTGAAGAGTAGAGACAATGATAAATACTGTATATGGTTAAATCTAGACAAACTCTAACTGTGATGTAGTATTGTTTTCTGAACATTAAAAAGAAAATAAGTTAGAATTAAAATACATGACAATAATATTATAGCATGAAGTTAGAAAGGAATGAATGGAATTTAATTTGGATTGTTTGGGAGGAGGGCAAATATATTCAAAAAAATTTGAGGGGGGGGCAGAGTCTATATCACCATCAGTAGAGTGCTATGGCATCACAGCTCATAGCAACCTCAAACTCTTGGGCTTAAGGGATTCTCTTGCCACAGCCTCCCAAGTAGCTGAGACTACAGACACCCGCCACAATGCCTGGCTACTTTTTGGTTGTAGTTGTCATTGTTGTTTGGCAGTCCCAGGCTGGGTTTGAACCTGCCAGCTCCGGTGTATGTGGCTGGCGCCCTAGCCATTGAGTTACAGGTGCTAAGCCTACAAGAAAGTATTTAAATAGTAAATAGTATGGAATAAATTCTTTTTTTTTTTTTTTTTTT